TTGAGTCAGAAGATCATTCAGAATTGTCGGAGGCGGGGGTAAAGGTGGTAAATTCACCTGTCTATTCATGTAGCAAATAGACTTATTTTCTTCCTGAAACCTTTTTGCGTTGCAAAATCGACAAATTAATGTCATTCTGGAAAGTTCGTGAGGTGGAAGCGGATTGTCTGCGCACTCATCTAGAGCTGGGGGGACGCTGTTGTCGATTAGCCTGATCATGCCTATGATTTTGATCAAGATTTAGATCTATATTATCTTGCAACGGTAGATCTAGATTTGCTTGCCGTTGGATCTGGTGAGATCGGCGTCTGGCCTTATCTCGAGATGACATTTTCTTAATCTGTCTAGATTTCTAGATGTAGATCTACACTTAGATCTAGCCTACCTGACCCAATTTCGAGATGGCATCTTCCCTCACGTCGCCCGGCTCTATAGTCCGGACAACACCAAATGGACAACTTTTCGACCTCATTACACCGAATCTAAGTGGCGAATCTCTCTGATTTTTTTGCATGCGACGCTGAATTCTAAAAGACCTAAAAAAAACGTGCATTTGCGAAAAAAATAAAGAGGTGCTGTCTATAATATTATTTATAATCATTTGTAGGCTAATTATTTGCTCATTAAACTCAACACCGCACACTTCTTATAGCAAGCACGGCACTAGGCTAAAACCATAAACAATACAGGGTGTAGTTGCTGGGGCTCAGCCAGAAATTTCCGGGGGGGGGGAGGGGAGGAGGGGAGGAGGGGAGGAGGGTATACAGTTTGGTCAAACCCAAAAGCAGGAGTCAATAGAGTGCTAAGTTTGAAGCGCTAATGGGCATGACACGCCCCCCCCCCCAACCCCTCCGTTTATACTCATACATGTCTTGTCCTTTTTCGGGATTTGTTATAAGATAAAAAAGACGGCCTCGATCAGCTTTTATGGAGAAATAGTTCAGTAGTTTTAAGGCAACGTTTTTGGGGTTTGTAAACTAAGTAATCTAACCATGGTATTTAATGAAAAAGCGACAGCAAATTGAAATGCATGCGATCTCAATGACGGAAGATATGAAAGAAATTTTACTCATTGTATGTTACAATGAGTCAATCAAAATAAACCCACTGTCTCCCCACTAACCACGAATCTGAAAACAACTCAGTCTTGCGGCTCATGCAGCCAGGTAAAAAAAAAAAGAAGAAAAAAAAGAAAATTAGATTTTAACAAACAAAAAAACTAACACTTAACTACGGTATTTGGTCTAATAAAAAATAGCTGCACAGACTGTAATTAAATACTAATGGTTGTATAAAAAACACCTCTTAATATTTGTCGAATGAGCACGAAAATTGAGATTGTTTAGGTTTTTGGGAATTCAGAGGCACATGCAAAAAATCAGGAACGATGCTGTCCGAAATTTGACAGGGATTAAACCGGTTATGGAACACCTAGAACATCAAAGAATCAAGTGGTTTGGTCATCTGATGAGAATGTCACCAAATCTACCAGTTTTACGAGCTCACAATTCAAAAGAGATAAACGGGCAGGGGAAGACCACCCAAAACTTGTCGCGATGACAAGAGGCCCTCCAAAAGAATAGCATATCAACAACAGAAGCCACTCAACCAGTTTTTAACCGAAAATTGCTCCCCCCCCTCGACATCTAACGACACACGAGGCCGGGTTAAGAAAATAAAAGTATCCAATCTAAGCATAATCTCAGGATATGACACTTGCATCCATTTGGCAGCAATGCGTAGATTAGTTATTAAAGAAAACAGAACTCTTCTGAATGGCGAACAGACGGAAATCAGTGTCACTAAGAAGAGAACAGAAACTGGGGCACTGGTGGCATTGTGGACGTTATTCCAGAAAACGTTTTTTTTTTCTGTACACGCTTTAAAGCCGGCCATGGACCTGCAAGTGAATTTGATCAAGTGGATTACGTCAAGCTTACTCGCGCAAGCACTGCTCAAGCTGCGTTCATGCTTTGCATGCAACAGTGCACACATACAAGGTGACCCCTGTAATGCTACTTTGAGCATTGATTTAAACTCGACTCAGGTGTTCGGGTAAGACATGTTTATTTTCGTGACCGGGGAAGGAAGAAGCGCCAAACAGACTTATTAGTGGGCAGATTTTATGAGTTGACTGCCAACCTGATTTGCCTATTAGTACACTCTACACCCTCCCACCTTTTTTTTTATTTTTATAAAAGGTGATATATTTACCCACATGATAAACAGATTTGAAATTTTTATACTTTATCAGTTAATCAATTGTGATACCAAATGAGTCAAACATTCAAATCTCCGTGTACATATGATTGTTTTTGGCAGCAAAAGAGACATTTCCCTAAACTCAACCTATAATAATGCAAACTCAACATTTGAAACAAATTATCGCAATACATGTACATGTATAGATCTAATAGATCCCCTGCAAAGAGTTGGCGCAAATAAGGTCTACTGTCTACTTCACAAATTTCAAAATCACCCCCCCCCCCCCCCGCCATTTTCAGCTTTGTCCCCATTTTTGAAGCGTGACGCACTAGTTCACATAAGGCCTACCACAAAAAATTCCAACGATTGTGCCATAATGCAAACTACAGTAGTCTAACAGGCCAACAGAAGTTTTGCAGATCATTTTTATCAAGTTCCCTTTGCCTGCTGAGATCAAGTTTAAGATTAGTAAAGAGCAGAGAGCTTTCCGTATTGAACTTTTTATCGCCACCCACCCATTTCGTAAGATTAACAGTCCTGTTAAAGTGCCCTTAAGGCCTCCCTTGATGTCAAGTGCGGAAATTGTCCATCAGTTAAGACCTGTAGAGAATCACAGAAAAAATTCCCAGACAAAATGACCCTGGAGCTTTTAGGAGTATTGCACTATCTGATTTGAAAAAAGAAGTCACCGTGTGTTACGACAATTAATTAGCGTATACGATCGCTTAATTGCCACACTAAGGTTTTTATTCACCAAGTGCAGTTACGAAGATTTGACATTATCAACACGGATATCACCACAGGCGACGTCGTGGGAGAGCGAGGAGGG